TTACCATGGAAAATAATTTTATTGACTGTTATTGAAAATAAACAAAAACATGTCTTATTTTAAATGTCTATAAATATTAAATAACTCTAAAATAGTTAAAACGTTAAAAATATGTTTTCATGTATAAAACTATATACATGAATTAATTTTAAATAACCATCTGTTGAAACTAGGTAAAATTATACAAATTATCAATTATAAAATGAAATAATTAGTTCAAATCAATTGTATCTAATTGATGATAATGAAGTTTTGCTGTCGGCTCCGACTGAAATTAATTATCTATAACTTTCACCTCCGCGGACCACATTGATTAGTCAGTAGGCCCAAAAAATGTTGCATACGCAGCACATAAACCTTCTACTGCATGTCTATATTGTGATTTATGTTTAATTAAAAACAACAAATAATATATATTATTTAATACCATAAAAATATTAATTAATATTCCTTTTCTTGCTATGAAAAGTAGGAACCCATGATCTTAAAGATCTAATTTATTTTTGGGATCCTGTGATAATTATACTCTATTGAATGGTTGAACGAACTGTTATTATATTTTCATCTAGTTTAAAATATTTGTTATTGTAGGTATTTGAATGTGTTATCAAATGGGTAAAGCATGATTTTGATCGTAGAAATGATTTTTTGCCAAAATTAATGGAACATGTACGTTTGCCATTATTAAAACCGGATATATTATTTAATATATCTAAAGAACCTCTTCTAAGCAATAGTTCTAAATGTATGTTATTTACATAAGTATGGTATCATTATATTAAATTAATATATTTTATGAATTATTGTTATAATTTTTTTAGGTTACAATTATATAGCCGAAGCATTTTATTTTAATCATCAAAAGTCAGTTCAGCATTTCACCATTCCAAAAACAATTAGGTTTGAACCCAGACAATTTGATGGTTTTCAAAAAGTAAGATTCCGTTTCGATAAATTTATCTTCACAATTATTTTGTCCATTTAATTTTATAAGTTTATTCTAATGTTCAATCGGTCTGAAATATTGCCAAAGTGTTATACAGAATGGTATGACCCAACAACCAAGCTAAGAGAGAATGCACCAGGGTTAAATGAATGTCGGAGGTTTGCTGGTCTCGGTGTAATACGTGATCAATTTGTCTTTGCTGTGGGAGGTGTAAATGAATCGAGTTCTAAATCTGTTAGTATGCTTGACGTATCTTCACAATCACCATCATGGGTTCCAATGGCCGACATGTTAGTTAGTAGAATGTATTTGGGAGTTGGTGTATTGGATGATTGTATATATGCAGTAAGTTTAATCAATATTTTACTTATTTTATATTAAAAATGTATATTATTTGTAATTCTAGGTTGGTGGAGGAGATATCATAAATGCATTAAATAGTGTAGAGGTATTTGATATTAGTATTCAAAAATGGAGAACTGTAACTAGTATGTCTACTAAAAGATGTGATTTGGGTGTTGGCGTACTCAATAATTTATTATACGCAGTAAAACTTAATATTATTTATTTATTTTAACTTTGTTTTACTTTTCATTAAATTAAATTGTGTAGGTTGGGGGTGCTGCAAATAAATATACAGGTTTGAGTTCTGTGGAATATTATGATCCCACACATGACACATGGACACCAGTTGCAAATATGTCTATAAAACGTCAAGGTGTTGGTGTAGGAGTCTTGGACGGTCTTATGTATGCTATTGGTGGCTATGATGGAAGAAAGTATCTTAAAAGTGTTGAGGTTTATAGACCGAGTGATGGAGTTTGGTCTTCTGTAGCTGATATGGAAATATGTCGAATTCATCCTGGTAATAATTATATTTTTTAGGACAACCTTTGTAAACATGTATTGAATTTAAATTGTATTTTTATATAGGAGTAGTGGCATTTGATGGTTTATTGTATGTTATGGGTGGAGACATTGAAACATCTAATGTTGATACTGTAGAAATTTACAACCCCAGCACCAATACTTGGACCTTGGAGAGATTGTCAAGAAATGAAGTAAAAATTGATGGTGGAGTAGTTGTTGTTAGACCACATCATTATCATTAATCAGCTTTTAGAATTACTCATTGTTAATAAAAATATGAAAATATTTTTGTATACATTTTGATAAAAGTGTATTGTTTTATATTTTTTTGTTGTTTTGAATATTTGATAAGAATGTTTTTTATAATTTATACTGACTATTTTCAAATAAAAAAAATAAGCTTTATAGTTAATTATAATGCAGTATATCAGTAAAAACTAAAATTATATCTATAATTTACTATTCAAATTATATCTTTTAGATTCAGTGTGGAAAGATAACATTTTTTGATTTTTCAATGATTTCTTTCTTTTTGGGCGTGTGTACAGTGTACACGTTGAAAAGGTACTTGACATTTTTACCTAATGTTTATTTTATCATTTTATATGTATACATTTTAAAATATTACAACTTGTATTGGGCTATATATAGATGTTTTGAATTTTTTTTAGTTAACTTTGTGTAAACGATGTTAAAAATGTTACTGTTAAGTCAAAAATATAAATATTTAATACTAGATTTATACGTTGTTATGGCAGCAGTTTAAAATTATTTAAAATGCATATTCACAATTTTTTTTATAAGCTTTGAATTATTTTGCTGTTAAAAATGTATAAAATGTAAAATTTTTATAGCTAAGGATTGAAAAATTTAAAACAAGGTTTCCCGTAAGTAGTACATATTGCAACCAAAAAATATAAAAACCCGGTTTTTTTGTGATAGATATTTTAAGTAAAATTTTGTGAAAAATATGACATTTAAATGAAGAAAAACTATTTTATTTATTTTGTTGTAATTTAAAAATATTATTCATGAATGGGGACTTGAAATTTTAAATTATATTATTATATTAATAACTAGGTATAATCCATAAGATATATACTTCATTTATTACCCATATTAAAATTTTCAAATGCATTTTTTTTTCTATTTAGGCTAAAACCGTCTGCTGAGATACTTATTTTGATTACAATCGCTTTGTATCATTGAATTTAAATTTAACACAGCAACCCGTCTAGACATATACTGTAGAGCGATTTGGTACCCACTTACCCATTTTTATTTTAAATGTAATTAAATTGTATACATATAGGAAGTTGAAATAGTTAAAACTAGAAGATTTGATAAATTAAATTACTATTTTACTAATCAAGTTTTTAAGCTATTTTTTATTTTGTATATTTTACAGACGTTACTGAGGTACACGTAGCATTCTTTACTTTTATTTTTATTGTTTAGTACTAAAATTCAATCAATATAATCTTTGAAAGATTATTTATAGGTACTTGGTGTATTATACATTGTTTTATGCAAATTATAGGAATTAATTCAACTCACTGGCTACCATAGACCGTATAGTAGGTATAATGGTACAACATATTTAGGTATAACATAAGATATCGTTGGCCGACACACCGTCTCTGCTCAGAATCCTTTTTTTGTGTACAATGATATTATATCACTGAATTCAAATTCAACATCATCCGTTACAGGTGGCTTCTCTAGACACCTAATGTTTATCATTGATGAGCATTACCCATTTGCCCGATTACCTATATAATATGTAGGCAGGTAGTAGGTACCTACTGTTTTGATGGCATACCACAAACGTACATGAATTTAGGAAAAATATCCCACCATTGCATATTTTATGTTCTACCCAATTTGATATAATTATTACATAATAAAATGACTTACGATGACAATTAGATTAAATTAAAATATATAATAGTATGCATAGTGAATAGTGATCTAGATTCTAGACTGTAGTATATTTATTTATAATACTGGCTCAATGTGAGCAATGGTCTTACGGATTTATATTGTATTATATTATATTAAGGACAATAATGCGGGTTTCACTTGTAAATTATTCTAAGTAGCTATTTAAAATAAACAAGTGACTATGAATCAATAGTAGATTCATAGTACTGTCAGCGCACGTACTACGAATCACAATACTTATTTGGCTTTTAGAATTTGGCAAACATAATAAATTAGCATTCGAAATTGGCAAAGCCAAGTGGGTTACATTGTCATGAAAACAACAATTTCTCAAGAGCCGATGTCACGTACATATTATCCTATAAGGGATTCTATAGGGCGGACGGTATTGAAAATAATTTTCGGTATTACCTACGGTATTGATTTCAATAACGGTTTGAAACGGTATACCGAAAATGAAATGATTCAGTATACAGCTAAATACCGTTATGGTACGGTATACCGAAATAATAAATAAAATCTAACTATATTTTTTACTTTAATATTGTTTCACATTATATACTTTATTATACACTATAATACCTATTACCTATTAGATATATATATCTAATAGTACCTAATAGGTAGGTAATCTTCCAAGTCTGGATAAGAATAAAATATGAGTGCAGTAATCTATTCTGATAAAGCCTGATTATTATTATAGTCTTGGTTGATACGGTTTATACGGTATACCGTTTAGATGGTTTTTACGGTATACCGTTTTACGTTTACCAAAATAATTTTAAAATACCGGTATTCACGGAATACCGAAAATACCGTCAGCCCTACCATATCCACACCAAGGCGAGTTGACATCGCGCATATAAAGGGGCCAGGAACACAGGATATTCAGATGTAACCAGAGCGCCTCACGCCACACTCGGCAAGCACATTTATAAGTAAACTAAATTTCAAAAATAAAATTGTTTGATTGGTAAATCATCGTGTGAAGCGAGGAACTTTTCACGAATAAGATATTAGGCTATTTCGATTGGCTATTGTAAATTTCTTAATATCTCTAAGGGTACCTACCTAATATTTTTTTTGCATTGGATTTTCACCATATCGTTTAATATAGCTATAGAAATCAGTAATGTAACATTTTAAAAAAATGTAATGAAATTTTTTTTTTGTGTTGTTTGCTCCTTCAAAATTTGTGTCGAATTATTAATCATAATATATAATATTTTAATGAAGGTACATGGAAGATTTGGTTTCAGCTAACGACGACCACATGCCAACGGGCGCGGGTGAAAACGCTCCAATAGGTCTAGCTCAAGGCATTCAGTGTTTGGGCGGTGAAATACCATTTTTTTTCTGGTCCGGTTGGGTAAACAGAAAGATGCGCTATGATGGCAATTGCATGGCCCTCGTGCTGGCAGTTATGGCCGTCAGGATGATCTGTACACAGTACACACTAAACAGTCATCTGGAATCCAGCCTGGATTATTGCAGCAATTGAATTGCTAAACGGCGTTCCGTATGCATTGGGATAGATACTAGTTGCGGACGAATTATTCAGGTTAGGAATTATATAATATATCAATAATTGCGGACACGAGTTTCGTTGTCATAATACTAATATTGCGTACAGAGCTTTTTTTAATAAAAACTACGTTAGTTGTGGACACAAATATTTCCCTTCACCACTTTTTCAGGACTTATGACAATAGCTAAAAAAAAATTGGTAGGTGGGGTTAAAAATATTCGTGTCTTGCAAAAGAGCAATCGTTATTTTTAAAATGTTATTGAATTATTATAGATTGTTTTAATTTTGTGGAAAAAATTGTTTATAAAATATTTATAGATTATCGTCATTATTAATAATTATCGTCATAGTTTTCAAACAGCCTGTATATAATATGATATTCTACTGATTTCACCACGTGAATATTGTAACATTATCCGCAATTAGTATCTTTATTTGTGTCCGCACAATTCGTATGTTTAATGTTACCTTTTTTGATTTCGTCCGCAACTCACATGGTTTTTGTCACTTTGTCCGCAATTCGGAAACACCGCTCGGTGAAAATGTCTTACGCAAAAATGTCGTCACCTCCCGACACGCTATAAACACCGTAATTGGGTTTATAGGATTTTTCGATTGTATTGGTAAGTGACGTCTTATTGACGTCTTATTATCGTACATTTTTTATAATAGTCTAATGCCGGGCCGCATCGATTAATTTAGTTTAATTATAATACTAATTATTAAGTAGGTATTTTTAATTGTTGAGTTAATCGCATTAAATGTTCAATAGTTTTTTCATCGAGCGAAAAAAAATTATTATTTATTGACGGTAAAAATTCTCAAGGATGTAATAATAGCTACAAAAGAGTCAATATATTTTGAGTACCTATATATTTTCATCATGTATAAAAAATTCTAATATATAAAAATATTTGGTGAAAATTTCAAGTGCCTACGGTGATGAGTTTTTGAGTTAATGAATAAAATCGATTATTTTGAAAATTCTCATTTTTCCTTCATATTTTTGGAACAAAGTCATTTTAGCTTCCCAGCATTTTTTCGAAACATACGTATTCCAACATGATAAGAACGGTGGTCCAAACAAAATGTTACTAAAATCATTATTTTGGAAGTTATTTCGTTCCAAAGGTTGCAATCTCACGTTTATATACGCACGAGTACAACCCTGTACTTTAGATGAAAACTATATAAAGTCAAAATTCGACGTTCAGGCTTAATTTTAAATAGTTATAGCTAATTGAAATTTATGGTATTTTCATATACTGCGACCGGCGTGGTAGCTTTCTCGGACAATAAAAATCGAAAACATCCCTCAACTTGTTATGTAACTATTGTTAAAGTTAAACCTACGCATTGGGTGGGTCTCGGACTTCAAATAGTTAAAATTTCAAAACTAAATTCGAATGCCGAAAAAATTGAAAAAAAAGGGTGTCCAGTAAATTCCAGAAATATGCCGACGATTTCACCATCATTCTTAACTACGTTAAAAAAAATCAATATTAGTTATATGATCTGCGTGCAGCAATAAAGTACAGCGGCAGTGGCACCTATATTTAAATTAAAAAAATATATATATTTATGTTTATAGGTACATCAATTTCGGTTCAAATACCAAGTACGGCTTTGGTAAATTGCATGCATCCAGTAAAATCTTTTTTCATTGTATTATTTTAATTTTTCTTTTAAATATACTCACCGCCTTAGTCGCAAATTGGGTGGGAGTTTTAGGGGTCAAGCCTCCTATCCACATATTTCAGTAGCCCCTCAAAAACTTCCCAATTTCTTTTAAGCTTATACAATATTAATTATTATTATAAGGACTTTAACCACCCCCCCCCCCCCAAAAAAAAAATCTCAAAAACATTATTTGTGTCTATGCTCGCCGCTTAACATGACAAAATACGCATCTGCGCAATCAAAAATTTGCGTCTGACCTTAAGCACCAAAGCGGCTTGATTTAAATATTTTGATTTAATAATTTTTCATTCATGCAATATTTTTGGCATAACCGCGTATATGTATCATGTATACCTACGGTAGCCCGGCGGTTGAACCACTATCGCGGTAGAACCGCTATGTGTGGCCCGATCCTAAGTAAACATGTATGAAGTATGTACCTAATGCGCAAACAAATTTAGTAATAAGTCATAGTCATTAAGTTTAGTTGAGTAATAATACTAGGAGCAACATTGGCAGAGGTAAAATAAGTAATTAAATAACAGATAAAGATTATATCACAGGCGTACCAAGGGCCCATCGAGCCATTTAACTGTTATACAGGACGGCCATCGTGCAATTGGACTAAATACTAATTCTCCTTCGAACTTAATGTTAGCAGTTAGGACATAATAACTGAACTATACCTATGTGGTTGATTGATTGTATTTCACCACAGTCCACAATCTCGAATAGTGGAGGCTGGACTGCTGGAGAGTCGACCGTTGCCCATTTATGAAACGCGGTCGAGGTTGTCCATTGAGCAGATGTTTAATAAATAATATAGGTACCTACCTATTTAGGAACTTTAAATTGCTACTTAGTAGTTAGTACTTACTGTAAAATTGAATTGGTCAATATTCACCGCGACCGTATATCTGTGTATGCGTGTAACACTGAACTAAATTCATTATTTTCATTAATTAACTGCTGTATTTCAGTATTTCAGTATTTGGTAAAATACGTACTTACTAATAATAATAACATTCACAAATAAATACAATAACAATAATAATATGAACCGTAGCCACTGTAGCTCAACAATCACATTTTAATAAAAAGTTAAAAGGCCAACAACATAATATAATAATGGTATCAAATAGATAATTAATAAAATATATTCTATTGGTAACATAGCCACATGTGTATATTATTATTACTTATGTAATACTCAACTTATACGATTACGATTTGAAGTTAAATTTTTAAAATATCAGAATATTTTTTGAAATTTAGTTAAGGCGCCTAGTAAATTTTTCAAAGGTAGATAAAAAATATTAAAAATCCTTAGTCACAGTTTTTTTTTAAGTATATAAAGTTCAAAAATTGACAAAATATGGAAAAATCACGAAAATTAGCAAATTATTTTGAGTTAAGAATTCATAAAACTTTTTCTTTTTAAAACTAAGATTTTAAAATGTGATACAAGATTCTTTATAAGATTATTTACCTTTATCAAAAAAAAAATGTCAATAAGAAAGTCAAATTAAATTTTTATGAGCGTTTGAAATTCAAATTTTTACAACATTGAATATTCACTTGATTTTTCATGTAGCGATTTCCTTATTTTGTTGTAATTCAAAAACGAATAACTTTAGATACATGAAAATTTCACTGAATATTTATATTAGTATTTCCTATACACCATACAATTTTGAAAATATTTTGACTCTTTTTGAGCTGTTTATGGACATTTACAGCTTTCAATTTTTTTTAGTTTTTTTTTCTATAAATATCAATAAAGTTTTATCTGTTACGCCAAAACGTGTAAAAATTTAATACAAGCCTCCTGATATATTTTTACAATATCAGTTAAAAATATTAAAAATACATAGGCACAATTTTTTTTTATAAGCATTCTTTAGATCGAATTTTGACAACATTTATCAAATTTAACATTGAATAATCATTTTGTAGTTAAAAATTTATAAAATGTTCAACTTTTATATCTAATAGGATTAAAAATTTAAAACAAGATTCCACGTTAGTAGTTAATTCTGTTACCAAAAAATCTAAAACTTCATTAGCACAGTTTATTTGTATAGTCATTTTAAGTTCAAATTTGGACGAAATTACATATTAAAAAACCTAGAATAACAATTTTAGTTATTTTGTTGTGATTGTATAATATTATTCGTGGGTACTTGAAACTTCCAAAGTATACTACTTTATATCTATGATAGTATCACGGTTTGTTATTGATATAACGCGTTATAACTTATAAGTACCTAATGGATATTGTGATATACTGATATGATTAATTTTTAATTTATTATAGGTACCTATTATTGGTCAATTTTTTTTTAATACCTACCATAGATTATAGATATGTACATAATATGTCTTATACCTAGACTGACACACCGTCTCCGCTCAGAATCGTTTTTCTTATATACAATGATATTATATCATTGAATTCAAATTGAATACCATCCATTATACAGTGACCCTCTCGTAACCTACTGTACAGCAGAGCAAATTTTTTTGATAATGGTTTTTTTTTTTTTTTTTTTTATTTATAAAGTTTTCCTGACAATTGGTCATCTAAACTTAAGGCTAAAAGAATATAATATTTGACCTTTTGAAAAAGGTTATCATAAAAACAAAAAAAATTACAAAATCAGTAAGAATTGATAAATTAGAATTTAACAATGTTTATGAGCTTAGATCTAACTATATTTTTACAACAGTAATAGGTATGTACAATTAAGATTTAATTAAAAATTAATAAATATGAGAAAATAATATTTAATAGACAATAAGCATAGGAGGTAATGCGGACGTCCACGCTTGAGACGGCGTTTGGAGGAGGGGCACTTAGGTTGTAGTATTTAGCGCTGCTAGCAGACTGTAAGTGGTTGAAGAAGTTGATTGTTAATTTCTTTATATAATCAGTTATAGATGGTACTGATGGTAGCTGGAAGTCCGTGTGCAGTGCAGCATTACGTATAAACCATGGAGGGTTAGATATTGTCCTGAGGACATTAGATTTAAATATTAGTATCTTGTGCATATGGGTCTTAGCACAATTTCCCCACACAGGGACAGGGACTGCATATAAAATTAGTGGTCGTAAAATTTGTTTGTATAGCAAAATGGAACATTTCCAGCTTAGCGATGATTGTCGGTTTAACAATGGATAAAGTATATTGTATCTTTAGTCTCTGGTAGCCTTGTTGAAGTTTAGAGGTGATGTGTGGGTTCCAAGTTAGTTTTCTGTCTAATATTACGCCGAGATATTTGATGCTAGGTGA